CGCGAGACAACTCGTCTCGAAAAAAAGTTTCAATGATAAATTTTTTTAAAAACATGATCCATTTTGCGACTGATGTGTAGTGGAGTGCCGCAGCATGCACTTCCAACCACGCAGCTAGTGTGGAGAATTGTCAAGACATACAACGATTTGATTTACACATAGCACGGGGCCACTACAGCAGTGTATTGTTGGAAGTCTACAAATGCAGCGGACATTATACGATTTAAATTCTCACTACGTGGTATTATCTTGTCGTATAGCGTACGGTGTTAGCAAGGATCACACCGGACAGTGTGCGAGTGGTCCGGGAAAACAAATCATAACTTTTTTGTTATGATGAGCAAAACAAGCTGATTTAAAGATGAACTAATTGGGACCACTCAGTATTAAACACAAAATAATCCCCTTAACTTAAGGAAAAAAGAATGTGCCGGACAACTGACCGACCCTAATTTCCTACACGCCCGAACCTACGGTTTCAGTAAAATCCCTTTGTGCTACGGCTGCTAGTCTATACTCACGCGTACAAGTTGGCTCGCGTACGAGTTGGTCCGCGTACGAGTTATCCCGTGTACGAGTTGCCCCGTGTACGAGTTGGTCCGCGTACGAGTTGTCCTGCGTACGAGTTGGTCGCGTACGAGTTGGCTCGCATACGAGTTGACCTGTATTCGTCCTAACTATAGTTGGGACCGATACCATACTTGGGGCCAACTAACATCGCCAACTAGTTTGGTAGGGCCTAGGTCCAATAATTTTAAAGTGGATTTTGTTCCCTTATAGGAACCGGGCCCTACACTACACGATCGCCGAAAGAACCATAGTAACTTTTTGGCGTTTGAAAATTGATTAAAAAAAAGTGACGTACTAGTATGGTATTTTTTCTGCAACCTGGCCCAATCCGACTGGGCAAAGCAGGCTTCCCCCAACCCGTACCCCACCACCCGCGGCTAGCTGGACACAGCAACAAAATCCCCGGGCACAGTGAAAATACTTGTCTCAACGGGCGACATGTCATGCTTGTCTCAACGGATAGATGTTTTGTCTTTCCATTTAACGCACATACGGTCAAATGACGGTCGAGGTGTCCCAACGCCACGGTCATAGGCTATAGTAGACCCATGAACGTGGCTTGTAAACTACGCCACGCTGTTGTGTATTTTCGAACCTGGCGAAATTGTCCTTCTGACTCCCTCCGTTACACACACTGGACGTTATTTTGCCCATGTAATAAGTACAGTCAATTGACCGGTTCCGCAATTTGACCGGTTCCGCAATTTTGGAAAACTAGCTCTCGTTTTCAGGAAGACGAAAACGCCAAGGACTTAAACTTTGGTACCGATGGAAAGGTTATTCAATCTACTTTTCAAAAATGGTTTTAGTTTTAGGATACTCACTTACATTTAAAAATAAATCCCCTACGACCGTCACTTGCCGTTAACGAACTGCCGAAATGGAACGCGCACGGAAGCGTGATTTCATGTTTGTCGGCATGCTACACGATTGTTCAGGGGAATTAAATCATGGCGATAGATGCAACTTGTTCGGAAATTATTCATTATTCCACCATACAAATATAAGATTTGAAGTCTTTGAATTTTTTTTTCTATACCCACCAGAGTAACTGCTGGTCGTTTGGCCGGTTCCGCAAACGCATTCATACTGCCTATACAATACACTGGCCATGGTGTGACTGTATTAACCGGTGCTGCTATTGACAAGTATTGATGATGACGGACCCCTAGCGCGGCGCACTTTATTTATTTTGGCATGAATCTTTTTTTTTTACTTACAAAGAAATTGAGAATTTCTATTAATCCTTGTTTAAAATGTCAAATTTGATGATCATTTCTGGGTGTTCAGTGCAAAATTGAAAACAAAATTGAAAAAAAATGATTTTGTAATGTTTCTGTCCAGCTTCCGGATAGCACTGTAGGTTTTGGATAAAAAAAATTCGGACTTCAAAATTTAAAATACAAAAATCTTTCTTAGTGAGCAAAATTCCCACTAAACGTTTTTCCTTTGCTCTAAAAAAAATCACCCCATACTTGATGTTGAAGCGGTTGTGCCTCAGGGGTTTGGATTCATTTTAGAGTTACAACTCTCCACATCCAGGGTGCATGAGTCAGCCCAGGCTAGGAGGTGAGGTTTGTGGGGAACAATTAAAAATAGTGCATAATAATATGGAAAATAAAACGCAGGTGTGTTTCCAACCCAAAGGACATTTCCAGTAATTTAGTAAATGTAAAATTATCCTTTTTCGGTGGGTTCTAACCTTACTCTTTACCCTTTTAAACAAAAAGAAAAATAGGTACACTAATATTTCATAATGAAGACCAGTCTCTCGTCAGTACAGAGACACAAATTTTGATTGTTTTCTTGGAGCACAAAATTTGTCAAATACTATAAACCATTTCTCAATTTTTGTTTCAACTTGGTCATAAACTAAATGATTTATATAAAATTTCTGTTTCATACAGACAATGCCAAAGACAAAGAAGAAGATTACACCAGCCTCCTGATAGGCCATAAGAGGCCATCGGCACATCTTTTTCAGTTTTACCTGTGAAGGTCAAGAAGAAGTTGAATATTATATAGTGAAAGTACATGTAGCTGTGTGTCTTCATCACCATTCCTTTGCTTTAATTTATTTATGTGACAAGTTCTTTTTTTGTATAGTGCTAGCTTCTGGAGTGCTTAAATTATTTGTGTATAACAATTAAACAGACATGCAGGTGTCATAAAGGCAATAAATTTAAAGGCGTTACATACATTTTTATTAACCAGTACATGTGAAAGAGAAGTGAGGTGTTTGAAAAACTATGCTACTTTGCATGAAAAACCCACAGAACATGTCTATTTCTGTGATTCACCACCATTTATTTATATGACAGGTATATTTTTGGATTTAAAAGGGGTAGCTTTTTGAGTGCTTTAGTTTTGTATTACATTTACATTTTACACATGCAGGTATCACATGTCAATATATTGAAAGGGTTATCAGGATGTACGTGATGAATGTGTTGACATTTTCTTTTAAGAGCATCACCGAACGGTAGATGAGGTTTGCTAATACATTTGCCCAAGCATGATACACGTACAGAGTTAATATGTGCAACAACGTATTTATGAGGAGTAACTGAACCCTCTCTTTAACTTTCCAACGACATTATAATTAGAAATTGCCATTGCTATGAAACAGCCATAGGACTTATGACATTTTTAACAATTTGTTTTAATTTGTTTGTGATATTTAATTTGAATGTGAAACAATATGTATGTGGCCTGTATGTATCTGGCCTGCTGAGGCCTGTTCCCCCCCCCCCCCCTCCCGGCCCCCAGGTTCCCCCTACTGGATGTTGGTGCACACAAAATTAAGCATATTGTGTTTTTACCCTGAACAAATTGAAACACTCCCCCCCCCCCCTACAAAAAAAAAGTAAAATGAAAAATTCATAAATAGCTGGTCTGTGCTTATGTGAGAAAAAAAAACAACCAACTGGAGCAATTCGGTACAAGGTTTGTGTCTGGTTCTATCCAAAGTCAGAGTGTGTCTAAATAAGAATAAGACAACAACAAAAAAGACAAATATTAGTGATTGCAAGATGATTGACAGAATGCACAAAAAGCAAGAAAGTCATTTCATTGGATTATTATTATTATTATTATTATTATTATTAATCATTTCTGGTAATGAAACCAAGGATTCCTCAAAAGCGCCCCAGGCACTGTAGCTCGCAAGCCTGAAAGAAACCTGTGGAGAGAAGACAATGAGAAGAAGTTACAGATTGAAGCAAGTCAAATAATTATAACGTAAAAAAAGATCCAACGAACCATAACAACTTCATGGAGTTACATTTTGTAAATTTGCACGCATTATAATTTGCATTGGCTCATGCACAGGGAAATATAATCCACATCTTTTCTTGGCTGGTTTGGGGGCAAAAATGATCTAGATTTGGCCAGTAAACAAGGAATATTTTCAGTCCAGTCTCACAGAGGGCGCCGTTTGCGAAACCGGAAAACGTTTGCGGAACCGGTCAAAGCACCGACCTCTACAAAATGTCCTGGCAAATTTCTCTTTCAAACGATTGCAGAAAACTATTTATATCATGAAGTAGGTGAGTAATTTGCGCATATTTATAGATAGGTAGCTTCCTGTGAAAGCGCGTTTTTTCGCCACAAGACGCTTCAGACGATTTGCGATTGCGGAACCGGTCAAACGACTGTACTCACATATGAAGCTGTCTTGAAATCTGTTTGTACGTCAAAACGAATTTGACGAAATTTGAGGAAAATTCAGGCCCCGGTTCATGAAGTCCTGCTAGCTGCCATTTTCTCCCAACTGACGCATGCGCATTGCGTTTTATTGTACCGTCCTGTTTCGTATGATTCGACGGCTGTTTACTGTCGCAGCTAAAAGAGACATCGTTTTAGACAAGTTTCAAGTCCTTTCCTCTCTCACTGCACCGCACGCGGGCGCACACGTACACGAGGTGAGCCGAGCAGCCAATCGTCTGCGGTTTTTTTTTTCAGGTTGCGACATGAAACAGCCGTCAATCTGTCCAAGCGACAGGAAGCAGACGGGTAGCTCAGAGGGCTCCGATAATTTTGCACGCAAATGACCCGGGTACTCGTCCGGGGTCATTTGTCAGGGTCACTTGTCAGGCATGTCAGGTTAAAATCTAATTTCTACACGTTCATAATGGCTCTTTATTGATGGCAAATTTCGTCGAAATTACACAGCTTGAACAATCGGACGGGCACATTTAGATTTCTAGGTGAGTACTCAACATCCATACGGAATTATGTATGGCGGATCGATTTCGCTAGGTTCAAAAATACACAACAGCGTGGCGTTGTACAACGCCACGTTCACGAGTCTAAGACTAAGGCTATAGCGGTCGAGTTGTCTGACTTCCGATCTAGCATGTCTAGGTTAGGGCCCAGTAGGGGTAGCGTTTGGATACTTCATTCTTTCCAAATGTTTCAAAAAGACTCACTTTCTGTACAATTAGTAAGCTTTAGTACATCATCTGGTGTGACAGCATCCTTCTGCAGTAGTTCTTCTTCCGTTATCTCTGCACTGCCGCTAGTCGCCTTCTTCGCTTTCGCTTGTCGGTGCAGGAACCCCCCACCTTTCTTTTTCCCTGCACTCCCACCACTTGCTGGTGGCACATCTGGAGTACTCATGATATAAGATTCAGCTGTAACCACTACTATCAAACTAATGTCCTTCTTTGATTGTGTTGGAATTCAAAATGCCGGCAATATTTCGTTTAAACACTCCAGATAAGACACAAGAAACACAAGCACCACGTACGCCGTACCCCCGTCGTTCGTACGTGTGTACGGTTGATGCACGTACGTACGTATATTTACGATTTTAGCTGGTTTCCGTTCGCTTAAAAAGCGAGAAACGAGGTACCAGCTACTGGAGTTATTTTTGTAGACCTATATTTCATAAAATCCGGAACGTAAGAAGTATTAGCTTCGTCCCTTGTGCGCTTGTGTAAAAGCACAAAAATCTAAATTATCATACGAAAATGAAGATTTACCTTACATTTAAATCTAATCCAGACTCCTAATGCATACCTCACTGTAGTCATTAATTATACTTAATTGGACTGACGAAGAATTTCATTTGTGGGTTTATTTTTGTCTTGGTGTCAATTTATTTCGCAACATCTTCATGCAATAGCGTGTTATCATGGTGACGGTACACTTAATATTATGTGGCCTTTCTTTATGATATTATGACGTGATCAAGAGCGATAGTTGCAATGATCTCTAGCGCCCTTACATTTTTTTACGTTCTCGCCATTGATCTCTAGTATTAGTAAAACAGGATAGGACCACTGATCTCTATATAAAGATTGGATAGCGGATAAAGAGCCGCACAATGAATGAATTTGACGCCATATTGGTGAGACCGGTGAGACCGGCTGGTGATCTACAAAGGACAAGTTGCAGTCTTTATAGCATCATGGTTACTTTTGTAACATCGCGGTTCACTTGATTTATATTTTGACCACCACCACTGATCACGGTTTACAATTTTTTTCAACGTCTTGGTTTACTTTTGTTTAAATGCCACAGTTCATTTTTCGGCGTTTTGGAAATAATAATCACTGCGGAAATGTGTCCTTTTTTAGAACATCATAATACGTGTACGGGAAGCCGTGTACGTGACCAAACTGCGCGTCAACTCTTGATACAGCGCGCGCGCTATATACGCGTAGAATTAACGTTCGTAAAATACGCGGCCATCTCCGTGAGACCGGGGGCGAATTGGTCAATATGCAAAGTCTAATGTGTGACTGGTGTATGAATATCCGCTATACCGCAACCTCGTGCCTCGTGGGTACGATCTTGCTGCGCCATGTTGTTTCCCATCATGCCTTGCGCGATCGTGAGTGAAGGATAGAACGTACGCAGGAACGCGTGCTCGTTCCTTACACTAACCCACTGATCTCTATATAAAGACTGGTAAATTATTTCCCTGACTTATTTTACTCACGTTCTACACATCTATATGTCTATCTAGGTTTGTCTTTAACTGAAGCTTACTTTTTAGCCTGTCGGTCTGTGTTTATTCCTCCATGGTGCCGGTGTTTGACGTGAATATCCGGCCGGCAATGGTCTGCCGTGTATACCGTACCGCGCATCTCACATCACTCGTACTCGCACTATGCAAATACACGCGGAACATAGCGGCGGCCATCTTTGTGAGACCGGGGCGAATTGGTCAATGTGCGAATTCTACTGTGAGACTGGTATATAGCTATTAGCTAATCCAGTCTTTATATAGAGATCAGTGCACTACTAACCCCTGGCTGTGATGATGACGTAAATCACGCTGAATGGCTATTCACAGTAAATCACAGCGTACTGCGCGCGCATTTCGAAGACTGCACGCTGGGCGCGCCCATAATGCGCTCGCGTGCAGCTTTGCACGTAACGTCACGTACGAAAAAAAAAATTATGATTCAAAAGTCGCGGTTGGACGAAGTCTTCATTGCAATACGACTAACGTCCAGGGCAAGAATTCTCTACATGAAACCATCCAACATTTTTACCAGAGTTTTGTTATGTTTTACCTCGTTATAGAAGCTTATTTCACGCCTACATACTCTATGTATCCTTATCTATTAGGCCGCTGGGTTCAAGAATTCCATATGCGATGCTGACTGACGTTAATCAGGAAAATAAACTCCAAAGCAACGTTGAACTTGTACCTTTGTGTAGACTCGTTTCATCAATTTCTCAGCGAGTCGTATGCGCTGTAGCGCCCTCCGTGCTCTGCGTCCGTGCAGCGTGAACGCGCAGTGCGCACGCGCGATTTGCTTAGTAACTGCGCCCTCAGACGCATGCGCACTAACTTTTTTAGTCCGCTGCGTGAATAATTGACAAGAAAAGTTTCAACCAGACTGAGTCGCATTGATCTCCTTACGGTATGGACGACGTAATCGATGTTGTTCTGAAGACATGGCGTATCTTACTCTTTGAAATTAGAACAGATGCGAGCGATCGAGTCTGTGGTGAAGAAATCCAAAAACGTTTTTGGATTGCTACCGACAGGTTTTGGCAAAAACGATTGTTATGGATGGCTCTCACCAATAATGGACAAAGTGAGTCTTCGATAATGTTGTGATAGTAGGCCAGACTTTAAGTTTTCTTTAATGGATGAGATGAGCTGGAACTACATAAATTTTGTACATACATCGAAATAAGTTTAACATTTTATTCAGTGGCGTAGCCAGGAATTTTTCAGTGGGGGGGGGGGGGGGGGGGGGGGGGGGGGGAGGGGCTGGAACATTTTCATGGGGAGGCGTCATGTAGATCAATGATATTTTTTTTTAGAAACTCAAAATCTCAGTGGGGGCGACTGGGGGGCGACGAGGTTTCATGGGGGGGGGGGGGGGGGGGTCTGTCCCCCTACGCCCCCCCCCCCCCCCCCCCCCCCCCCCCCTTGGCTACGCCACTGCTTCATAACGCATCTTACTGGTATTAATTTTCTTGTTGTGAGACATATTTATTGATTTTGTTATCTGTTATTTACCAGATTTCTTTTTTATTGATGACTGTATTCTCCAAAGGAGTATTGAATTGAATTGAATTGAATTGAATTGAATTGGTGGGAGCTGAGGTCTATTTATTGGACTTCAGTTCAAAGACATTTGGTGGTTCTGTCCTATTTAGCCTCGAATTTTAACTGCTTGGCTGTGGAATACTAAGCACATGCGTCATCAGGGGTTGTTGATTCAGCAATATATGGACACAATAATGAATAGAAAATTAGCTATACACCAGCCAGGAAAATAACAGAAGAGTCAGGGTGTAAGGAAACTTTAAAAAAAAAAAAAAAAAACTAAAAAAAAAAAACACACAACAATCGCGCGACAATTTGTGGACAATGTTTTTCCCGGTCTAGTTCGGGAAGAGTTCAGGCGAATTTTTATTTTTCGGGAGCTAGTGTCTGTAGGCTACTGCATTGATTTTGTTCTGTCCAAGTAAAGTTTGAGGGGAAAATCGCGAACGTCAAATAGGCCCAGTAACTATCCAATCCATTAGCCGTGGAAATTTTATTCCAGATCTTTAATTCGGGTAAGCCGCATGTTTCGTCCAATTCGTAACGAGTGCTCACACATCAATTCCTCAGATCAAACCAGGGGTAAAGCACATCACATTGGTGATATCCCCCCTTCGTTCACTAATGATGGACCAAGTGAGCAGGTGGTCTGCCGTGGGAGTCAAATGTGCGGCCATTTTGCAGGCTAAAGAAATGGACAATGCTACTAGATGGTAAGTTTGGTGTCGTAATTTGAATTATTACTTTAAAGGGATTATGTAACTTGGCTGGATCAATACTGTGACGGCCTGCAGTCGTCCCTGTTTATGATGTCATTATTTATAAATAGTCTTGGCATCAAGCGCCATGGAGAGTTCCTACTGCGCATGTATTTTTGTGCGAGTCACGCCCATTTTCCACAGGTGAGAATGAGTGCGCCCTCTCGTTACCACGCTCCAGTGACCACGCTCCACGAAACTTTCAGCCAATTAGGGATAAGGGAAGGGCAGAACAATCCAATCACAATTAAGACGGCGGGGTTTAGGACAATTTATTGAAAGCATCCTTAATTGTAAGTGAGATATAAAGTATGTGTTGAGTTAAATAAAGGAGGAGAACTAATTAAGAGCTGAAACCATACAGACGTGTGCCTCTCTCTTGCTGTGTGTCGTAGGTTATTCAAATACATGCAGTGTAAGTGATAGTTTCTAGTCGCACTATCAAGCAGGGAGATTGGAATCGGCACTGTCGCCACGCTACCTAATAACAGACCGGTGCCGATTCCAACTTGATAAGACTACAAATACCCGCTAATGAGAAACCGCTCGGATAACAGCAAAGGTCCATTACAATACGTTCAGCATTTCGGTATGATTGACTTTATAGCATATCCTGGCCAATTTGAACACGCGGCCGATTTCAATTCATTTTAAAGCACATCAGTACAGAACATCAAAAATTGTTGTTTAGTTTCGTTATTTGAGTAGTCTATCGATGGATCAAATAAGATCATTCAAATAGTCGTTCGATCGTTCAAATTCGTCGAAATCCTCATGCATTACATAGAGGTTGATCGAAAGTGTAGAATAATCCATTGGCAAACATTTTTTTCGTATGGATTACCTGTATTCAAATTCGTGGACGTACGTGCCCATATAAATAAAAACATATTTGTTTACGAAAAGACACACAAACGGAAAAAGACACGGCAAAAATCTAACACGGGGACAAAACAAGATTATTCATAATTTTCCCCGTCAAATTGGCCAGCCGGGAAAACCCATCGCTCGGAACATTTTAATAACTGTGCCCTGGGGTGTGTAGAACATTGTCGGTTTTTAAAGTGTGACTAATGTACAAACGGCGGATAATTTTGAACTCGTCTATCAAACTGCCTTTGAGCCAGGGACTGCAACCTGTATTTGATATTTTAATAACAACCATAAGTGTTCACGTTTCTGTTAGTGTTTTTATCGTTGTTAGGAATCAATCAGCAAAGGAGAATATCAGTTGGTATTTGCATCTCCAGAAGCAGTACTGCGACAGCCATGCATGGTGGTTGGCAATCAAGAGATGGCGTGATCGAATCACTGCTTTAGTCATAGACGAAGCCCACTGCATGACCAAATGGTAAAATCGGGGGTGTCAGGTCTTCTATTGAAGCATCAATGATGATACTGTCGATTGCACTGTGAAATTTACGTGGTTTTATTTCATCCTTTTGCGTTCCTGCAACTTCCCATTTTTTTGTTAATTGACACAAGTTTACCTTTTTATTTCGCACAAATTTTTACTGCACTGCAACACTCAACTTGAAACTTCTCAAGTGCCCATGCATCATGCCGATACACCACTTTCAGAGTCCTCACCATAGGGCCCAATCACAACTTCAGCTTGATTGATGGCGATCTTGTTTCCCCTTTTTGTCTATCGAAATGAGCTTTCCTCATCTTAAATTTGAAACTGTCCTTATTTCTTTCCGCAGGGGTTCATTTCGTGAGGAGTACCTCAATATTTATCGGCTTCGGTCAATTCTCTCCAGCCAGCCTGTCGTCTGCCTTACGGCAACGGCAACACAGACGATAATGGAGGAGATCATCCATTATGTTGCAGCTTGAGGTGTCTACATTTGACATCATAGCAGTGCTTCCGGACAGGCAAGATTGCAATGAGAGTTTCCTGGATGCATAAAAAAGAGTTTAACTCATTTTTATTTCTAGTCCTTGACGAAAGAAAAAAAAACTTTAACCGGCAGGCATTTAAAGCACAAAGCGTATCATTATTACAACATTGCCTTAAATTAACTTTTATTTCATTCATTAATGTGCTTTCAGACCCAATATAAAGTTGGAGATGTTCAACGTGGATAATGCCAATGTTGAATAACATTTGGCCTGGTATTGTGCTCTGCTAAAGAGGGGAAAGGACGCACCAAAGGCGATAATTTACGCAAGGTAAATTATTTTCTATCACATTTTTTTTATTGCATTATGCGGGTGTCTTTCAAAAACAATGTCAACTACTCTTTGTTTTGTTTCTTTGCAGACAAGTGAACGAAGTCTCCCGCATTTATGCGTGGCTGATGACGAGTCTGGGGGAGATGGCTTGGGTGGACCCTGTACACAGTGTCCATAATAGAATAATTGACATGTACCATGGTAGCACTGACGACGAAGGCCAAAGGTGTGTTACATCATCATTTTGCCAAAAGACATCTCCACTCCGATGCGTTGTGGCTACCATGGCTTTTGGTTTGGGCATCCAAGCAGATGATGTGGAGTTTGTGATCCATTGGGGACCGGCAAAAGATGTTCTCAGTTATTGACAAGAAGTTGGCAGGTGCGCGAGAGATGGGAGGCAAGGGTTTGGAAAGCTGTACATATTCCCGCGGTCCATTAACAAGCGGTATACTGACAGTACCATGATACAGCTATGCAGCACAGTCAAAGGAGGCAACTGCATGAGACAAGCGGTGCTCGAGCATCTGAAGATAACCGGCATGAATGAGCGTGTCAAGGTGATCGGCTCCCACTGTTGCACTGTTTGCACGGAAGAGTAGAGGTGAGTAGGAATTTATGATTCTATGACCTGAAACAAAAATGAATATGTTAAAAGGATTCTTATGTTTCATAATAAATCTGAATGCTATACTTTTAAGTCTTTACGGTCTTTTGAGAGGTGGGGTTCTTTTTGTAAGTCAAAAAAGTTATCCGTGAAAGTATGATGAATTTCTCTTCTCAAGGCAAACCATTTTGCAGAACATTATCACGAGCACAGTTGATTTCTTTGTCTTGTAAACGTACCAATTTCCACCTGTCCATCTCCTGGGACGTCATGAGGAGCCTTTGCCCGAGACAATCGGGTGCTTTGATGCTGGTATTGTATGTGAAGTCTTCGAATCCACGATGCTGCCGACCAGGGTGGTAATCAAAGAGTGCATCTTTCTTAAATTCACTCACAAAATCCAGCACATCTTTGTTGGCGGTTTTCTTGGAGGAATTCTTGCTGGAAAGAAGATCACCCAGTCCGCCCTCTGTTAATAGTCGGTCGATCTGTTTTCCAAAGGCTCCGCTCATTCGCGAACAACGCTTTACCTGTTGTTGTGTGTATTTCCTCCGGGATCTCAGCAGCATATCTTGTAATAAAAAAAATAACAAATATTAGGTTGAACTTGACGAAAGAAATTACTTGAGCGGGGTTCGAACCTGTGACCTCTGGAAGCAAGGGATTGTCATACGTCCAGCCAGACCAGCGTCATTTGAAATGAGCTCGATGGATTTCATTTTAACTGAAATAAAATATTGAACATTCATGAAACTGCTGCAAACTGCTCCAACAAAATGAAAACGTTACGTAGGGAGGAAAGGGAGTCCACCTGGGCTACCTATACGTATATATGGATTATGTCAGCCGCGTTTTTCGGTAAAAAAGACCCTGTATCTATGGTTGTAAAGGCACGAAAGGGGTACGTACATTTAATACAAATCTTGCTAATTAACACAACGTCCAAACGTTGTGTTTGAAAGGATTGATTCTTCAAAATCACAACTTTTAACATTTTAACGATGGCGCCGGCACGTAAAACGGATAAACTGCAGCCCTAATTATAATGTACCGTATTTCAGCACATTTAAACTACACAATTCCAGGGGTTGAGATCACGCAAGGCATGATGGGAAACAACATGGCGCTGCGAGATCGTACCCACGGGGCACGAGGTTGATACACACCGTCCGCTATCCTCCGCCTCGACTTTCTGTACGGCTGTTTGCGGAAGTGTGTGTGGGGTGTACGTACATGCACACAAAGCACATGCAAGGGTCGTTGAGGCTAACAGTATAGTAACCGTTTCATTTGTGACAACCACCGAGGAATCTCCCTGCTGGTTATTGCTGGTAAGATCCTCGCCAGAATCATGCTTAATCGCTTCACAACACACATTGCCAACACTTTTCTACCCGACAGCCAGTGTGGTTTCAGAAAAGGAAGAGGTACAGGCGACATGATCTTTGCAGCCCGGCAGCTACAAGAGAAATGCAGAGAGCAAAATACCGACCTCTACTGTGTCTTCGTCGACTTGACAAAGGCATTCGACACCGTCTGTAGAAAAGGACTCTGGAAACTCCTGTCCAAAATTGGCTGCCCTGAAAAGTATATTGAGATGGTTAAGCAGTTTCATGATGGTATGATGGCGCGAGTAACGGACGATGGGGAGTCTTCAAAACCCTTCCCAGTATCAAATGGAGTTAAACAAAGCTGTGTCCTTGCACCAACGCTCTTCAGTGTCGTGTTTGCTAGCATGCTCCTTGATGCTTTCCGTGACATCAACATAGGCGTGAAGATGAGATTCAGGACTGATGGTTAAACTCTTCAATCTGAGAAGACTTCAAGCAAAAACAAAGGTATTCGATGAATTAGTTCGTGAACTCCTATATGCCGATGACTGTGCTCTCGTCGCCCACACCCAGGAAGACTTACAACTCATCATGGACTGCTTCGCAACAGCTTGCTCACGCTTTGGACTTTCAATCAATCTGAAAAAGACAGAAGTGATGTTTCAACCTGCTCCAAGTAAGCCATATGTTCCACCCGTTATCACCATTGGAGATCACATCCTTCATTCTGTTGACAAGTTTACATACTTGGGCAGCACCCTGTCAAGAGAGGTCCACATAGACCAGGAAATCACAAATCGGATATCCAAAGCCAGCTCAGCTTTCGGAAGATTTCGTGAGCGTCTGTGGAATAGGAGAGGCATAAGCTTGAAAACAAAGCTGCGTGCGTATCAAGCTGCAGTCCTGACTTCCCTGCTGTATGCCTGTGAAACTTGGACAACCTACAGCCGCCACATCAGAAAGCTGAACCACTTCCACCTTTCCTGCATGCGTAAGATCTTGCGCATCAGATGGCAAGACAAGGTCCCAGACACTGAAGTCCTCCAGCGAGCGGAATTGCCCAGTGTAGGTGCTTTGATCATGAGAGCTCAACTTCGCTGGTCAGGTCATGTAGTACGGATGACTGATGATCGACTCCCCAAAAAGATCTTCTACGGTGAACTAACAACAGGCAAAAGATCGGCTGGTGGTCAATTCAAGAGATACAAGGATTGCCTTAAAGCAACCATGAAGCAATGCAACCTCAATGTGAGTAGCTGGGAAGAACATGCCCATGATCGAACGGCATGGAGAAGATTATCACACGAAGGTGCATCAAGCTTCGAAGCCCATCGCATCAGGGAGGCTGAGCTGAAACGACAGCAACGAAAATCTCGTCAGCTAGATGCTTCCCTACGTGTCCACCCCCACCCCCAACCTAGTGTGTCCAGTGTAGAACCGTAGCTTCCTGGCTAGAATTGGACTTATTAGCCATCTGCGAACACACAACACCAACTAGTATGGAGATGTTGGCTGTCATCTTCGAATTTCGAAGGACGAACTATATATATAGTAATGGTGTTGCGGCGCGCGCTGTGTGCGGTAGCGGGAACAAGCTCGTACACAGAAAACACAAAGTGAGTAATTTGACTCAATATCGCAATAATTGAGTCATTTTGTCGGTGTATTGAGACACTTTGAGCCAAAGTGTGTCACTATACGGACAAAATGATTCACTTCTTAGGATAATGAGTCTAATTACTCACTTTGTGTTTTCTATGTATGGGAACAAGCTGATAGCCTTGGTCAAGGCTAACCGTCCGCGCGCATGTTTTTTGAAAAGGGTAAAGAACACAATTTCACATTCTAGTTGTGTACACTTTCGAACGGAGGATTAAAAAATGAAGTTGGGTTTTCTTCGGTTTCTTTGTCATTTTTGAAAGAATAAAAGAAACAGAGATCTAAATTGATCAAAATCGATGAGTATAGTCAAGGTGTGCGCAGCATTTGATTGCTGGAGTGGGGAAGTAAGGAGCGTTGAAGTAAGAATAGGACAATTATTTGCAAGTAGGCCTAAGTTGTTTTTTTAACGAGGCCCATACAACATGGCATGGAGGAATATGAACATGGGAATGACAAAGCAAATTATAATATCGTTAATGTTGTCGCTCTGAGTTTGAGGGGATGGAGGCCTGTGTGGTTGCTAGCGAGATATTCTGTTCAAATTCCATGCGATCTAGGCCTGTCGTGCTGGTCGGCATCATTTTTCTTTTAAAGGGAATATACATCATTTGCTTTTGCTGTAATTTTCAGAAATGGATGGAATTGGGGGATTGGAAATATAAAGCAAATATATAGTTACACTGACTTTTTGGAGGTTTTGGGTTCGAAAATGCTATAAAAACCAAGAAAAACGATCATTTATCTGTAGTCTGGTTCCCTGACTCCATATAAGAAGAAACAGAGCAGTTTACATACATTGGGGAATTGTAAGGTCAGGGAACCAGTCTAGCTGGCTCGTACCCGTTCATAGGTTTGTAATCGATTGCAAACAAGTGCAATAGTCAATTGGGGCCAGTATTTGAAAAAAAGCCAGTTGTTTCCAACGCTGATCGGCCGATCAGCGTTGGAAATTGATACAAAAATACCACTTTTCTTGAAAATGACAGTATACCAGGTGCCATAATTTTACAGGATGCTTTAGACTGTCATTTACCAACGTCCTATTAAGGTATTTCGCAAAAACGTGGTAGTTTTATTTTTCGATGTTTGCAAATGTTGTATATTCCCTTTAAAGACATATAGGCTAGGCCTAAACGTGCATGACTGACCCAGCAATGGCAATGAACAAAAGTTGACTTGTTTAAAATAGTTTATTCGAATAACTTTTATAACTTTTATATACAAAATCTGATTGAATTATGTGTCTGCCTTGGCTTAACGCCTACCGAAATGTTTCTATTTTTTTTCTTTATAAAGAGAAACCGAGGAGATGGTTTATGCTAACTTACTGCACAACCGGCCGATTGACCTTCATATCAAACAAAGATCTTCAGCAAAGCCATAGCAAAAACCACCAGCTGCAGAACGATATCCAAGCGGACGAAAATGGAGAACTTCACGGAGGGATGGAATCGACTGTATCATCCACTGAATGGAACATGCGATGTGATAGGCATCTGAGAGTTTGACTTAATGTGGAACTGTTAATATTGATTGATTTTGTTTTTGGAAAGAAGCTGTGGAGTTTAACGCAAGTATTTTTATGAGCTCCCAAGATGACTGTCACATTATTGACAGTTTGTATGGTGAGGAAAGCAATGAGTACTTATACGGTTTGAAATTATATTGTGTACGCCGTTATATAAGATTACTAGCTATAGCCATTAATACACCGTCATATTCGCTCACAAAAACAATTCCCATTACACTTACAAGTAATTATATTTATTTTCAGAAGTAAAGCTAAACATTTAATTATAAACAAGATCGTGCGTAGCTTGAATTATTCTTTGACAAAATTAGTATAGTACTATAGGTTTTCTCGGTCAATTTCGGCAAATGAGCAGCCAATTTAATTTTCGTGCGTTCGAATTGAAGCTATTTTGCCTCCAGTTGTTACTGCGTTTCAAATTCAGAATTCGGCCATTCAATTTCGTTTTGAGGCATTCAAATTCCTTTAGCACTGTGTTCAATTTAGCATATCGTCATTCTTTTTCGTGACACACAATAAGGGAATAACAGTGTGAGGAGCCGGTCTTCACTGCGTGATAATGACCGGGTGTGGGGGTGACCGCTGTTAATGGACCGAGACGAAGTCGAGGTCCATTAACAGCGGTCACCCCCGCACCCGGTCATTATCACGCAGTGAAGACCGGATCCTCACACTGTTATTCCCATTAATAAATACCTTTATAACGAAATAAACAGTTAAAATGCTCCAATTTTGTGACTTTTTTCCGGCGATATTTCCAGACTTTTTTGTGTTCATGTTCATGGGCCATATTTTAGCTTAACAGCTATAACGACGTAAACTCAACAGAAACTGCTGACGTAGCGAAACAAATTACAACAATGTTTTCATATCTTTACCTGATGGAGGAAGCTGAAATCTCGCTTACACATTCCTTGTGTCCGGAATTACAAAGATGCTTGGTTTAGGAAAGGTAAATATGTCGGTGGGTGAAGTGTTTCAAAGAAAATAAATCGTAGATCTACGCTTTCGTCGTAAACATCCTCAGTATATACTCAGCTGCACTGCTGTACGATGTCGTTTCAAAACTTCCTTACGCGCGCGCACGCACGCATCCCTAGCAACTGTGTTGCGTACGCGCGCCTCAGTCTCACGCGATGGGGGTTGTGCAGTGCTCAATTGTTAAAAGCTACCGCAGGACTGTTACTATATTTTGACCAATCATTGGCTTGCATGGGGCTGAACGGGGCTTGATCAATGCTGGTTCAGGGGCCATTTATTCGCTTGATCTTTGAAGCCGGTCCATTATCACCGTTAATGACCGGCCACGTGATCGAGTCTCGACCAATCAGAAACCATCAACTCTCCAAGGTATTTATTAATCATCATTCAATTTAGCAAAGCTGGTTCGACTGGAGATTTTACTGATTTATTTTTTTTTCAATTTCGTAAAGAGGCAATCAATTTCGCTTAAAGAGAATTCAAATAAGTACGACTAAAGAAATACGAATAAACAGATAAACTGTACTAGGCAACTGTTTCGTATCTTCACTTTAATTCAGGCAAACCTTGTTTTCTTTATTCATGCTTCCAGTAGACTTTACATGGGGCTAATGAGGTTTTTTCTTCTTCTTTGTTTTCTTCTTCATTTTTTTTTTTGGGGGGGATCTTTATTGGTTAACTGACCAAGACCTAATTTTGTACTGTGTTTGAATGGGATGTTTCTTTATGTTTTTTCCTGGTTTTTTATTGTTTATGTTGTTTCTCCCTCAACCATCAATCTGTTGGCGTGCCAGACATCTTGGCATATACATGTATGTTTGGGTATGGTTGTACCACTGCATGCACTTCACTTGGGTGATGACATCAACGCTCTGGATGGCTGCTTGTTGAAGGAGATCGCACCTCCACTGCTGCATGTTCATTCCTGCTTGCTGGACAGCCTGTCTGTCTCCGACACGTTGTTGCCACTCAGGTAACCCAAGGATGCGTTTAACTGCAGCCTTGAATGCAGAGTGTGCCATCTCCGTGCTGTTCAGGAATGGGGAGTAGGGAGGGAGGCGCTTCAGCTGGATCATTGGGTTGGCACCTTCAGGGAGTTGGGCTCGCACGTGAGGCCTCGCATTGTCGTGTATGAGGTAAATGGGTTCGTCGTCTGGGAAAACTGCATCACACTCTTGAATTGTGTCCGCAAGAAACTCCTCGAATCTCTCTCGCGTCACAGTTTCGAATGCGATTCGGTGGTGCACCAAGCCTACTTCACTACTCTACCCTGGGAGCGTTGAGTTAAGACGTTATAACCTGTCTCGTCAATGAAGACTAGATGCGCCAGAACACCATGCTGCAGGAACCACTCACCATACTGGACGCGTTGATCAAGAACTTCAGGGGGATTTCTTGCATCATGGACGTCCTCCACTAGTTTCAGTGTAATCATCATCCCATCCAAGGCCCTGGCTATGGTGGCAGTTGAAACCTGGGGCTTCTCTGGCAGATGCTCACTCAAACTAGCCTTCATTTGTTGAAGTGTCAAGACGGGATTAGCGTCAAGGATGCCTTGCACATGGTTTCGCATGTCATCATCCATCTTGCTGTGGGTTGCTCCTCCTCTTGCCAGCGTCTCTCGCCTTCCAGTCCTCAAATATGTTGCAACAATTGATATGGCTGTGGACTTGTTGATGTTCAAATTGACCGCAAGCTGAAGGTAGTCTTGCTCGTTTCCCTCGAAGGCCTCAATCAACCTTTCTCGATCTACCTGGGCCACTCTAGCGTAGCGACCACGAGCTGCCATTTCTAGAAATATGCGTGTAAAACTGTAGCGAAAGCTCGTCTTCGAAGTACATCGGCAAAGTGACTCAAGTGCCAAAAAGTGAACCGTATTTATGCCTTCAACATTCTTAAGGAAACAAAAATTTAACAAAGCGTTTTTTAGATTGCACAAATTCCAGAAATGACTGCCCAAAAATGAATTTGAATGACTAAACACACGCCTCAAAAAGCTCCTGCGAATTTGAATGCTGCTTTGTTGAATTGTTAAATTGCATGATTATTAGAGAGTTCTGAGAGCCATAACATTGGGGTATTGAAGAGATATGGCAATGAACCTCTGGCCCGGACTCGGGGCTTCCAATTCTGAGCATTTTGGGGGTACAATTGGGCTCGAAAGTGGCGCTATTTTGCCATGTTGTGGAGGGATCGTTTTTCAAGATGGCTACCGTTCCGCTTTGGGGAAAATAGGGGTCGTCTTCTTTGGACGAGAATTTCTCGAAAAGTCAATGGTCAACCCACCAAAAAATGAAAAGAAATTGAAAGATGACATGTCGATCATCATTTTTCTCTGCAGCTAAAATACCTGTGAGAGTTTTGACTGAGTAATTTTAAAAGAATTTTGAAGTATGGGCATTTAGCACTAGTGGCTATGGGATTTTTTTTTATTGCACTGTTGCACCCATAGGGGTGCAGACCAGTAAATCGCTCCGAAATTGCCTACGCCGGCCAAATCACGATTTGCATGCCCTCAAAATCTTTAGTATTTGAGCATGAACTTGAGGGTTTGTAAAAAATATGGGTGGAAGCCGTGCACAGGACTGGGAGCTTGCAGTTCTGTGTAATTTGGATGTAATTTGGACCCTAAAAGCGCTCTATTTTGCAATGGAGTGTAGGCATCGTTTTTCAAAATGGCGATGGGCTTCAGGACTATTTTCAGGGGTGATCATCTTCAGATGGAAATTTCTCCTAAAAGTCATTAGTTGACCCCCCAAAAATTGAAAAGAAAATGAAAGATGATGAAATTAGCTTTAATTTGATGTGTGTCTCGAACACCTTGGAGAGTTGTGAGTATTTTTCCCGAATTTTTGAGGTGGGAGCATTTACCATTGGGGTCTATGGAAGTTTATTTACTGGTCTGCTACCATAGGCCTTTCTTTTGTTTGTAAACATTGGCGCCATTTTGTATGGGCTGCCGTAAGCGCATAAATTGAAGCCGTGGTTGGCAACATATTTTTTCAAAAAAAGTCCTAATAACGCCATCAACACATAGTAAAAAGGCATGTGTAGAAATTATTTTGTAGCTTCGTTGAAAATGTTGTATTTTCAAGTATCAAATAATATTTTGGTGATCTGTAATAACTCTTCTTCATTTTTGCAGTGTCGGACCTTCCATAGTTTTGCAGGCCGTGGTTGGCAAAAATGCAGTTTGCCAACCAAGCGCAGAAAGGTCTATTTCTGATGAATCTTAGGTCCGGTAGCCTCCGGTGATACATTGAATTACAATTTACGTCACGTGACTAAAATGGGAGGAAATCCTCCTTTTTCCGAAAATTTCCGAAGTTTGCCGAAGTCGTTTCGTCGACAATCGGATAGCGCCCGAGTATTTCCGAGTATATAATATAGGTTTAATTATAAACTGCTAATTGCTTATTAATTTTATTTTCAATGAGTTGATAATTAGTAATCATTGCTTTCATTTAGAAAACTTGAAATTCAACGATGATTTTGTGCATCAAAATACTCGGATCGTAAGGGCGGACTTTGTGATGCGTCATGTACAATTTTGAATTTGACGACCGTTACCGAGATTTTTCCAAAACTCGGCCTTCATTCGGCTCCGCCTGCTAACAGTGCTATTTGGGTGCCTAATTTTGAAGATTCCAGATCAACATTAGTCAATGTTATCTTACAGAAACATCAAACTGTATTATCATAACTGTATGATATAGGTTTTCCCGGCGAATTTTTGAATTTTTCTAATCAGTTTCATTATCATCCATTCAATTTCACGTGAGTCTTGCACATGTGGTCAAATTGGGGTTTCTTTTTCATTTT